AGAAATATTAAATAAAAAAAAAGTATTTAACATATCGAAATATCCGTATGTACTTCTGTAGTGCATATTATATAGTTTTTAAAAAATTTTGGTTTTTTGCTCCAGGTTCCATCGAATGGCAGATCCCCGCAACGTCGATTTGACAAAACGACGTTTAGTAAATTGACTTCAGCGTCGCCATTTTGTTAAAAAAATAAATAAAAAAAATATTTTTTACTTCTAAAGACTTGTATTATTAAAACCTTAAAACGAATTTTTTGTTACTTTTATTGTTTTCCTAAAAAAAATTCCCAAAGTTACCGATTGATTTTTAGGCGGTCAAGGTGGTGTAACCCTTTAATAAAATATTTGCTACAGAAACCGAGCTATTTTGGAGCAGATCCTTTCCGTAAGTGCAATCTGTAAACAGTCTGTTAGCAGTCTGTCAGCAGACTGATATAAGATTCTTTCAGCAGAAATAATATGCAGATTCTGGCGAAAGAATGCTACAATTCTTGCAGCAGATTCTTGACTTATTCTGCCAAGATGATCTGCTTCCTCAGATTTACAGCAGTTTTGCAACAAATTGTTACTATAACTAGTATCGCTAAATAAATATCGCAAAGCATGGCTTTGTTCCGTTTCACGCATGATGTATCATTTTATCCTTGTTTAAAATTTAGTGAACAAGGATAAAATGATACTCAGAGTTGGTAAGTTAATATTTTTTTTAACTAATTGTAAGTTAAGTTAAAGTTAACAGTCTAAAAATTTTATTTAGTTAAGATACAAGTTAGTCCATAATAAAATTAATTGAGTTAAAAATTAAGTTAATAAAAAAAAGTAATTGAAAAGTTAAAGTTAAATTTTTTCATTTTATTATATAATTTTAGGGTTTCTAAATAAAGTATATATTTGTTATACTTATTTCTGTTAAGCCATGGAAAGAAGACCGATTTTGAAAGACTTCTTCCAACGTGATTTAATGCACAGAAAGTCGAACAGTGATTCCTTCCCACTGCCAGACTATATATTTATTGTATTATTACAATTGCCTTGATGTGTGTTCTCAAATTTGAGTTTGAAGACAATTAGACATGTATTTTATTTTGGGTTTACAAGAAGTACTAAAAATGTAACTTCAAGAAAGTTAAATCAAAAGTTAATAGTTATCGATAAAATGTAACTAAATTAAGTTAAAAGTTAAGAGCCTAAAATGTAGCTAAGTTAAGTTAAAATTATTTAACTTTTTAACTTAACTTTTATCTTTTTAACTAGCCACTACCCAACCTTGATGATACTTCATGCGCATCATACGTGAAACGGGACGCAGCTCATATAAGTTCGCCAATGTCGCATTCGGTCGATAACGAATAATAATAAAGCGTCATTTTTTTACCGCGAAATCGCGGCGATAAAGAAAATTCAATCCAAATCGCGATAAATCACACGTCTAATCGATCGTTTCCGTTGTTTCGTAAGGCAATCCTCGAGAAGGGTCGCGAAGCGGCGAGCAAGGTGGTGTTCCTGATAACCGACGGCTTCAGCAACGGCGGCGACCCGCGACCCGCGGCCCACCTGCTGAAGAACACGGGCGCGACCGTGTTCACGTTCGGCATACGCACGGGAAACGTGGAGGAGCTGCACGACATCGCCAGCCAGCCCGGCTACACGCACAGCTACCTCCTCGACAGCTTCGCCGAGTTCGAGGCCCTGGCGCGACGCGCCCTGCATCGCGGTGCGCTTCTTCCCGTTGAAAACTATGCACTTATTGTTGCATGCCGCTTTACAAATATTCCGAGCGCGCGTAAAGTCAAAATTGAATTTAGAAATTACGCGGAGCCGTGTTGAAACTGAACATTGCGTAACAATCGCGAAGCGTTAGGTTCTCTATATAAAATCATTGGAGCGTTTGTAAAAGAAACTGATTTTAAGTGATGAATCAGACGTCTTTCGCAGACTTGAAGACCGGGCAGTACGTGGCCGTGACTCTGCCGACCGATTGCAACAGCCTCTGCTCGAACAGCACGGCGAACCGGATTTGCTGCGACGAATTGGCGACCTGCACCTGCGGCACCGCGACTGGCCATTACGCCTGCATCTGCCCGCCCGGCTATTTCGGTTCCGGTCTCAGGGGCTTCTGCCAACGTAGGTTGAAACGAGCGAAACGCGTTTTGATCTACCGATCATTGATGCGCTTGTACGATTCATGGATGTTGCATATTTAATTTTTTCTTCTACGTGTGTAACTCATTGTCAGATAATATACATGATTTCATTGCGGAAGTTCTCTCTCTTTGTGTGCCCGCGACAGCTTGTCCGAACGGAACATATGCTTCGGGGAACACTTCCGGGGATTCCACCGCCGTATGCGTACCATGTCCAGACGCGAATCACATCACCGTCAAGGTACTCGCGACCTCGGTGGTCGATTGTGTGTGCGCCTCTGGATTTGCCACGGACGGTTACAAATGCGAGGGTAATTTATTGCACGATAAATCTAGAATGTCTGATAAATTAAATTGTAGAAAGACATTTTCTCGCGATTATTAGTATAAATATAAATACGTACACGTATATACATACGACGTATGCCTTTTCAGCTATAACGTGCCCGAAGCTGAGAATCCCCGAAAACGGATACCTGGTGAAGGCGAGCGCCTGCAGCAACGTGGTGCACGCGGCGTGCGGCGTGAGATGCAGGATCGGCTTCCACCTCACGGGGGACAGCATCCGGCTTTGCGGCAAGGACGGCGCTTGGTCCGGCAACGAGCCGCAATGCCTGCGTAAGTATATATATAAAGAGCTGGACGTTCAATTAGAGAGAAATTGAATTTGATTTTTAATTAAACGTCTCGTAGTGAAGACGTGTCCGGCTTTACGCGCGCCCCCGCACGGCCGCGTGAAATGCGAACACGACGAGGACTATCAGCACCAGTTCGAGGAGAACTCCACCGTGTATCCGATCGACACGCGCTGCCTGTTCCGTTGCGACATCGGCTTTCAGCTTCGTGGTAGCAAAGTGCGCAATTGTCTACCTTTGTCCCGTTGGGATGGCCTGAAAGTCACGTGCAAGGGTAAAAAAAGGACGATTATTTTATTTACTACTATCCTGTACCAGTAAACGGGAAAGGATTAAAATGGATTAAAATTTTTTAATTTATGGATTGAAATGAATTTGGCCTCCGTGGAAATGAATGCATTTCTATTTTTTCATAATACGAATATAGTATAATATAATATTAATATAATATTTTTTGGATTTAGATAGATTGAATTAATGCATTTCCTATAGTCACAATTTTTAATTGAATAACATTCATCATCCACATTTTCACGGAAAAACTTTTTTTAAATTTAATTAGATTGAAAAAACTGCATTTTCTATCTAGAATAGAATTTTGAATTAACCAGTTTTCACGATTTACTTTTTAAAACTAGATTTTTTTTATTGAATAGAATATTGGTATACATATAGCAAATGTGCTTCATGTAATTCCTATAAATAAATACAAAGGCATTGGGCATTGAAATGGATTCAGATTTTTAGAAGTACGCATTCGCGAACGTTGAAATGAATTTTTTTCAATCTATTTCAATCCATTCTCGTTTACTGAGCAGAGAATTAACAGAGACGCAATATCTTACGGTAGCTGTGAAATGCGACCCTCTGCCGCAAATCGCGAACGGCGACATCACCCCGGAGATCTGCACCGGTCCGGGAAAGGTGCCCTTCGCTACCAACTGCACAATCACCTGCAACGAGGGCTTCGCCTTGGAAGGACCCACCGGCAGGACGTGTATCGGACGCACGGGAATTTGGTCCCAGCGTCACAGAGTCAATCGATGCGTGGGTTAATATCGAAATCAAATCTTTTTACACGAGAAAAATTAATTTCTCGGCCGAATTAAATCCAAGTTTAATTTCGAACGCAATAGACAAGACACCGCCTTCCCTGAATTGTCCAACCGAGATCGTGGCGGAGACTGCCAAAGGGCAGAGCTACGCGTACGTGAATTGGACGGTGCCCGAGGTGACCGACAACGCGAACGCGTCGCCCATCCTGTGGACAAAACCGCACATCGTCCTACCCTGGAAGGCGAAGATCGGCACGCACGTCGTCGCGTACGTGGCGCAGGACGCGAGCGGCAACAAAGCCAGATGCAAATTCAAAGTTAAAGTCCTCGGTAAGCCGCAGATGTTGATCTCAATCTCAGAAACGCATTTGTCATGGCAAAAGTTTGATGAGGTCACATATAATCGAGAAGAATACACCCACGCGAGAAATGAGCGTTTCTTCAAATGTTCGCAGATAGGGAACCACCAACAATTGAGAATTGCGTCGACCCGCCAACGTTCTACACCGATCTTGATAGCGGTCTCGCAAACGTGACGTGGGACGAGCCGGTCTTCTACGACAATTCGAGGATTTCCGTGCACGTCAATCAGAGTCATCAACCCGGCAAGGACTTTCTCTTTCCGGTCGGTCGTTCGAAGGTCTTCTATAACGCAACCGATAAGTACGGCAATCGGGCGAGTTGCGTGTTGAACATTACTGTAGAAGGTGCATATCTCTTAAAGATTATATTTAACAATACTTCATAAAAATGCTACATTGCATAATTTTCCCAGATGTGTGTAAAAGTCTGAGAGCGCCCGCGAACGGTCGGCTAAACTGTTCCTCGTCGGGCGAGCGCGAAACGCAATGCGTCGTAGCTTGCGAGGATGGCTACGACTTTGCGATCGAGCCGACGAACTTCAATATCGTTAACGACGAGCTGCTGCTGAAATGTAACTCGAGCAGTCACATGTGGGAAAGCAATCACCTGCCGGAATGTTCAGGTATTTATGTCGAGTTTATTAAAAGTTATATCACTTGGTACTTTAAACTAAACATAATTATATTCTACGAAGTTATGATTTCTTCTGTCGATTAGAATCGCAAACGCCAAAGACAATATCTCAGGAGGGGAACGTGATATTGCAAAACAACGAAAGTGCAATATGCGACAATCAAACTGCTCTTCGCGAAGTGAGCGTTTAATAATATTGATATTTATAAAAATATATAATACTAATTTAGATTTTTCTAAAATATAGATATATAACTTTTGTATAATATATTGTATCTTCTAGTTGAGCGAGCACGTTGCCAATGACTTGAAATTAAAACTGCTGGGAATGTGTGACAATGACATCGAGTGCGATCTAGTCAGCTTCGATCCCAAGTGCGAAGATGATCTTTCGTCGTCGAAGAATATCGAGGACAACCTAATAAGAAGACGAAGATTCGAGCCCGGACACAAACAAGTTCAGGCCACCGATATGCTCAGAGATAGTGAAACGATAATGCTCAGAATATTGAAACGCGCGGCTAGATTGAGCCGCGATCTCAATAAAAATAACACCAGATCTAAACGGAAGAGAGATAGAATAGAGATCAAATTCAAATTCATAGGTAAGAGACGAATCTTGAACTTTGTGAAATATGTATCGGGTAACGTTCAAAGAAATCCTGTACAGGTAAGATAATCGAAGAGAACTTCGACAATCCCAAACGGGGAGTGCAGAAGTTGAGGGAGAGAATCGACGCGATGGCGCAGGTGGGAAAGCTCGACTTGCTCGACAACAGGACCAACCAGGAGATCGCGAGGCTCGCCCTGAACCTGCACCTCGTGTTCAAGGAGCCGCAGGACCTTTGCGATCCCGGGAGCGTGCTGAAGAGACACGGTTGCGGTGAGCGCGAACGAAGACGAAAAAATCCAATCAGATAATAATCTGCTAGTGCACGTATATACGTTTTACAAATACATCCCGATTCCGATATGTTCTTTTAGTCAAATGTCCCGCGGGCACTTTCTACAATTCCTCCACCAGGACCTGCCAGCCGTGTCCGTTCGGCCAGTATCAGGACGCGACCGCCTCGTTGACGTGCGTGCCTTGTCCGGAATACACCTTCACGAAGAGGATGCACGCGAGATCCTTGAGAGATTGCATTCGTAAGATTCTCAAGCCGAAAACTCGTTAAGACTCGACTTGTTACATTTCCCTTTCTTTCCCTATACAGCCGTATGCCGACCGGGATATTATTCTCGGCGCAAACGCTACCACGGATCGCATCTGGGCATGGGGCCTTGTGCCGCTTGCGACATCGGTTTCTACCAGCCGAGCTACGGGCAGAGTCAATGCTTGCCGTGTCCGTCGAGCGCGACTACGGAAAAGCGCGGTTCCGCGGATGTCAATGATTGCCTGCCGATTCGTGACGAGGAAATTGACGACTGTCCGATGGATCCGTGCTTAAACGGCGGTCGATGCCTACGGGACGAAAGCGGCTTCTTTTGCGAGTGTCGCGATTATTATGTGGGTAGGTTGATTACTAGTTACAATCATGCATTGTTCTTTCTCAATTTTTTCTCCTAAATTTTAAAATAAATAAATTATATTATATTAAATTTTATTAATAATTTATAATCTCTTTTATTTTATCCTAAAATAAAATTAATATGCATTTTATGCGAGTGCGGATTTATTTTTTTTTCAGGATCGAAATGCGAGAGATTCAGGGATCCGTGCTACTCGTCGCCGTGCTTGAACGATGGAACGTGCAAGACGCAGCAGCATCCTGATAACTTCGTCTCGTACGAGTGTGCGTGTAAAAGCAGTTACACGGGTGATAATTGCGAGGTAAAAATACATACAAATTAGATATTTGCAATAAAACGAAATTATTAATAAAATTTAATATAATCTAGATTTAGAGTAAGAAAATTGATTCTATATTAATTATCGCAGATCTACGTGGACGAGTGCTCCACCAATCTTTGCCAGAACGGTGGAAGATGCGTGAGCACCGAGAGCGATTTCGCTTGCGAGTGCAGGGACGGATTCGAAGGTAATGTTTTATTAATAACATTCACGATGAGTCTCTCCCTGCTTTCGCGTCTCGTTTATTAGGTCAACTCTGCGAGGTTCCGATGGATCACTGCGAGCTCGCGCCCTGCGAGGAGGGATCCGCGTGTCACACGGTAAATGGTACCTGGCAATGCCTCTGCAAACCCGGTTTCCTGGGCCGACACTGCAACCTGTTACCCTGCGACTGGCTGCCGTGCCACGCGAACGCGATTTGCGTCAACGTCGAGGAGGTAAACGCGACGCGGAGGAGTTACAGGTGGGTATAAGACACGCCGTAATAACACGCCGCGAAACGTGAGATCTGAGGCTCACGATGTACGATCGGTCCAGGTGCGAATGCCCCGACGGATACACAGGGGAGGACTGCGCGACCAAGATCGATCACTGCGAGAGCTCGCCTTGCCTGAACAACGGGCGTTGCGTCGACCGCGTGCACGATTACGTCTGCGAATGCCCGATTCCTTTCACAGGACGCGACTGCGAAACTGGCAAGTTGAAACTTCATCCAGTGTCTGTCTCTGGAATATTTTATTTCTTAATTTTTTTAAAAATCTCTTCAGACAATAACTTAAGGTAGGCATTTATTAAAAATCGTCTTGACAGAACTGTCGTCTGACTACGTGATGCACTTCACCAAATCCGGCACAACGGATTACGTCGCCGTTAAAGGACCCGCGAGGGATCTCCCCCAGGTAAGTCGAGAGAAAATTCGGAAAATTCGTAACAGACACGTTTCACCGAATTCACCTTGATGCTGCAGCTGTCCGTTTGCCTGTGGTTGCAATCGATGGACACCTTCAACTACGGTACGGTATTGTCGTACGCGACAGCATTCTACGATAACGCCTTCACGCTGACGGACTACAACGGGTAATTACTCGCGGAAATTCAGTGTGTATCTCAGTGAGGAACTTGTCAGTGATTTATTAATTCATATTCAATGCGAAACCGAATTGCCAACACGCGTTTGACCGCGAGCGAGTCCCGAATGTTAGATGTCGTTGCAGATTGGTCTTGTACGTTAACGGGGAGAAAGTCGTCACCGATGTTAAGGTCAACGACGGTAACTGGCACTTCATGTGCGTCACTTGGCAGAGCGAGCGCGGCTCCTGGCGCGTGTTCGTCGACGGAATCCTCAAGGACAGCGGCGTCGGTTTGGCACAGGCTACCACGGTGCGAGGTAAAAAAAACCCGCGTAATCGTCAAGAATTTATCTCCGTCTAACGCCTAAAGCAAATCATAAAATCCCGGACATCGTCCCGTCCAGCCGACGGATCTCTCGTCGTCGGGCAGGAGCAGGATCGCCTGGGCGGCGGTTTCTCCGAATCGGAGGCATTCCTAGGGAGGCTCAGCTCGCTGGACATCTGGGACGTCGTTCTGAACGAGAGTGACGTTACGAAGTTGTGGATCAGCTGCGAGAAGTACCACGGGAATCTCGTGGCCTGGGCGCAGATGCGGCAGTACGTTCACGGCGACATCGCGGTAATTACGCGTTAATTGTCAAAATATGAAGCTCTTTCTCTTTCGATTTAACCGGTAGACCATAAGCGATGGTGTCTCACGTCTTCAGATTCTAGCCAGCCCATTTTGTCGCCGCTGCCCTTTGCCCGTGGTGCCCTTCAAAGGTAACATTAAAGTGAGCGAGGATCTGTCTGAGGTAACGTATTACTGCGACAGTGGATACATGGTTCGATTTGACGGTGAGGAATATCGGTCCCTCAGAAGAAAGTGCCTCAAGCACGGCCAGTGGGAGGGATATGATACGCCGATCTGCACGAGTAAGTTTCGTTTTCCCCCGTGATCGTATTATAATGCAAAAAAGAAAGCGCGGCACGGCTGTTGTCCTCCAATCGTTATTCCAACTGGAATAGATTCGATTTGACCGCGAGGCCGATGATTCTAATTTCTATGTTCGAAGAGATAAAATGCGGTTTCCCGGGGTACTTTCCGCGCGGACGTATTCACGGAGAATCGTATTCGTTCGAGGACGAGATATACTATTCCTGCACCGAGGGCTACGAGCTCCGCGGAAATCCCCATCGCATCTGCAATTCCGACGGCAAGTGGATCGGGCTGCCTCCGATTTGCATAGGTAACGGGGATTAATATAACATCGCTATTAAGCGTGAGAATAATGCAGCTATTAAGCGTCGTCTACAATGAGACTTAAGACTTAAGATTTAAGAAAATGGACCAATAACAATCGATTATTCTTCTCACGTGAGATAAATAATCGACTATGATTGATCAGTTTTCTTAAACATGCGTGGCCACAAAAAATGAATTTTGAAATTCTCTGACTTTTCCATGATTTTCAAACAACAGTGGAAAATTTTCCATGATCAGTATCAAATATATAATTCTAAATTTTAATGTTTAGAAGATACAAGAAAGGGAAATTATATTTTATGCTAACGCTCGACGCTCATTTTTAGTGTCAAAACAGATCACATGATCGAAATTGATGAATACCAAGCATTAATTTTGATCATGTGATCTGTTTTGACGCTAAAAATGAGCGTCGAGCGTTAATATGAAAAGGCACCTTAAGAAAGGAAACTTATATTATTAGAAGCAACATAGAATATTAGAAGGTTAATAACATAATATAATCCTAAATGTAAATTTAGGCAAATTATTAACACTTTGACATTGATGTTATGCATTAAACAGAAAAAAATTCCATTGGTATAATTTAATTTACCGTTGCTTGGGGACCAGACAAAAAAACTCAGTGATAAAAGCAAAAAGATTCCTATAAACATTTCTTTAATATTGCTTAATATTCAGACTATTTTCGATTGCGATAACAGAGAGAAGTCCCGAACAAAATCGTAATTTTCAAACATTTTTTCGATTTTTATACAAAATCGCGCATTTCATTCTGTTATTGTCTATAGTTTAATTCTGAAAAAGAATTTTCAAATTAAAAAAAGCAGTACATACAAAAACATTGTACAAAAATTATTGAGTTTTGTCAATAAAACAAATGGTCCCTTTAAAGAAATTGTAAGCAAAGTTCAAAATTCCAGATTCTTTTATATCTTTCTCCGACTTTTCTAGATTTTTCCTGACCAGTTTAAATTTCCCCGGCTTTTAATTCCAGGTTTTCCCGGTTTCCCAAGTCTGTGGCAACTCTGTTAAATCTTAAGTCTTAAATCTCATTGTAGACGCCACTTTACGAGTCAAAGTTCAACGAACTCAACAGCCAAATTTTCGTCTTTTGACAGGAACGACGTGCAAAAATCTGCTCGCCCCAGAAAATGGAGATATAGAATATATATTAGAAGAGAACGAGAGAGATGACGTCACGATATTACAGGTACATATCCTTGTCGCAAAGATAACGTTAAAACGTACACTTTCAAATAATACTCGATTGTCACGATAAGGTCAAGATGACGTCATCTTGACTGAAAGTTTCGTTGAATTTTATATCAATTTGACATCACTTTAACATTGTATTACTCGGAATGGATTGTTCAATTAATTTAGGCCGGTCAGCAGCTGGAGTTCAAGTGCAATCCCGGGTACCGTTTAATGGGAGAGAGATATCTGACCTGTTTGGAGACTGGCGTCTGGGATTACAAGAGGCCGTCTTGCATGCCCTACGGATGCCCTTCGCCAAAGCAGTGCGTCTTTTAAACATACCTTTTGTCTCACTAAAGATATTTCATTAAATAAAATTAAGAAAATTTGTCAAAAAATCCGGTAGTATGTTTTGTTTAATGATGAATTTGAAAATTATCTAACATTCTGTGAGCGTAGAATAGAGCATGGCTACATCATCTTTTCGAGTTCCGGCCAGTCTTCCGATCGGGCCTCCGTTCGCGATCCTGAAAGAAACACGATCGACGATCCCTTCGAAAGAACGTATCACTACAACGATGTCGTTGGCTTCTCTTGCCATCGTGGCTACAAGTTTCGCGGGAATCACAATCTGCTGACGGAATTCAAGCTGCAGTGTTCCGCGAACGGCACCTGGACGGGCTTCGTCCCTGACTGCGTCCCGCGCACGTGCCCTTGGCCGGATCGCGTGGAAGACGCGAGACTCTTCCTCAGGATGCGGGACAACATCATAGTCGAGATTCCGACGGAGGGAGACATTACGTTGGAGCCCGATCGGAAAGCAGAAACGAGGAGGAACGAGAGCGACGCGGCGAGCGGGATCTCCCCGGAAATGTTCGTTTCCGGTACGGAAATCGCCGTCGTCTGTGATTCAGGATACGATATAGTCGGTGAACGAGTCAGAACGTGTACCGAGGAGGAGAGATGGTCCTCGACTTTCGCTTCTTGCGAGCCGCGTAATTGTTCCGTCGAGGAGCATCCGATTTTTAAATTTTTCAAGGAAACGGAGGACAAAACCGTCTTGAAGAACAACAACACGGATGTGACGTCGCTCGAGTCGGACGAGAAATGGTATGGCAAGGGAAATGTACGCGTGTACAGAGATTTGGAGATTTTTATCGAGGGAAACAGTTACGGACGACGAGTAATCTTAACGTGTCGAAATGACGGACGGATAAATCTGCATAAATCGATCGCCAACGAGACGATTTCAAATATAACATGGATGTGCAACAAAATCGTAAAATGGGAAATTTTGAATTCGTTACTGCAAGAGTCTATACTCGAACAGCTGCTGAACGATTCGACAGATATCTGCGTTAGATCCTGTGCACTTCCGCAAGTAAGTTTTCTGAAAATAATGTACCAATATCGATGGGAAAGAATAAAATAAAATAATTAAGTGTTCCAAGTTAAAAACTACAATACAAAAACACGAGGATAATCTTTTTTTACGCGATATTTTAAAGCTCTGCATATTTCCCGGGATAAAATTAATTTCAGATACCGGATGGGTACATCGACAACGGCAACAACACCGATGACGATAACGATCGCAGGGCGATCGACAGCGTCGTCACTTTCAAATGCCGCCACGGATACATTCTCGAGGGTGACGAAAGATCTATTTGTTTGCCAGACACCAGGTGGTCCGCTTTGCCTTCCTGCAAACGTACGTTTCTTTGTCTTTAAATTGGCGATCAGTCTCAGATTTCTGACATAAGCAAACAAACGTTGAACATTTAATTCTAGCTGTGGTGTGCGGAAAACCACCGGTTCTCGCTAACGCGATACTGAAGAGTGACGGTGGAACTCAGAATTACACTTTCGGTAACATGATCTCTTATCAATGCGTCCCGGGCTATCGTGTATTCGGGCAGGCGAATCTAAGATGTTTAGGAAGCGGCAAGTGGTCCAGATTGAATGGCAGATGCTCGAGTGCGTAGATCTGTAGAACAAAACTGCGGATCTCTCGCCATTAGGTGACTCAACATCTGTCTAAATCACATCTTTAACGCTTGCAGAAATATCGTGCGGCAAACCGCAGATCCAGCACGGAACCGCGCTTTACGGCCGCTCGTACTTGTTTCAAGATCAACTGACGTACGTGTGTCCTGACGGTAAGAAGCGGGGGATGATTGCGTGTCAGGCCGATGGGACGTGGAGCGAGTTGCCGAGATGCGACGGAAGTAGGAGCATGTGATTCAAGGTGACCACGCAGGATTTTAGCGCAACGTCTTATAAAGACAAGGAAATCTCCACCATTGTAACAACACACATGCTTTCTTTTATTTCTTTCTGCTCTCTTGTATCAAGACTCACGAATGTAATATAGAAAACGTAATTACGCAGTCTTATCACACGAAATAAATAATTCATTTTTGGAATTTCCGGAGCAGTACATTCGGATATGCGACAATATCTTATCTACAATTATTTATTTATTTATTTATGCGCGATTTATCGTAATTTTTAAAATTTTTTAGGATATTGTACCTCAAGTACACGCTTTTATCATCTCTTTTTTTGTTTCGTTTTACTGGAAAAGTTGGTGTATATCGATACAAATAATTTCTTATCTCAAAAATTGGCATTGTTAAGCCTTGCACTGTTCGAGTAAGGACAGTTCATCGATACCGACCATGAGAGATACTCCATTAGTTTAATTGTACATTTTGTTCGTGTTTCGTGTGCACATAACGGAAAAGAAATTCAATTTCGTAACGTACAACGGTGTTGCGGATAAAGTATCTCTTATAATACATACATCGTTTCGACATCGTACAATGGTACGAAGTATTATTCGGAAATACCGTACAAACGGATTTGCGTATTATTACTATATCTACCTGAGGAAGAGCAATGAAGATAAATACTGTGTGAAAATAATTTCTCGTATATAAACGCTGTATATTAATTTACACCTAATGTTGATGTTCAAAATGGAGCACCTTCGATAAAATAGATCCATTAGCATGGCTATCTCGGAGGGGAGCAAAACAAAAAATCAGATTACTAATAAAGTACGTAAACGTGTCCCTCAGAATTACTTGAGATACAAAAACGTAGTGTAACAAAAATTTGTCCATTACCGTTTGCCTCTCACGCTAATTCTCGCTTAATATCTAATCCATTTAATGGAAACTAAATGCCCTTAGTTCAAGAGACTGTCATATAAAGACGAACCTTTTCAGAACGAAGCTATACGCGAATCGTATATAGACACGGATAAATACATATCCTAAATGCTGTAAACAATTCCTCCGTAGATTGAAGAAACAGAAATTTTAGCCATCCTAACGTAAATTGCTTGTCTAAGTCGAAGACAATCCTCCTTCAGAGCTCCGCCTTCGAGTTGCTGCTAAAATACTTGGGTTTGAGCTCCTCGATCCGTTTGATAAAGTCCGTCTTCTCTATGCAACCCTCGCACGTCTCTTCCCAGTCGTTCAGGATCTTCTTCAGGTCGCGTACCTTCAGCTTCTTCAGATTTACCGTATTGAGGTCGATTTGTTTCTCTGGAACAAAAAAAAGCGGTAATGTCACAATGTCGGAATAATCGCAACTTGTAAGAAAGGCGAGAGCGCACACGGATACAGTTATACATACCGAATCTCAAATCGCATATTTGAGCATCTTTCTTCTTTAACTTCTCGCATATCTTGTCCGCGGGCATGGACCACGACAGCGGTTTACTGAGCTCGCCTAGGATGCCAGTGGCAGATTCTTCTAATCCTCCTAAGTAATAACACTGAAAGCACATACGCAACGATCGCGATCATTTACGGTAACAGCTGACCGAGGGAACGTACTGTACTTATTTTGTCCTTTTTGGGCTTATACTCACAAATCTATTTTCTTTTGATTTAGTGCCTTTACAGAATTCTCGAAACTTTGCTTCGATCTTCTTGGGGTCACTTTTGAGGTCTTCCGTTAGTGTCTGACTGAATTTGTCCACAACAGCGACGCATACTGCAAAGTTAGGAATAAGGAGCGTCATAAAGGCTTGTGTCATAAAACTTGAATGTAAAAACATCGTGGAGAGTACATCAGAGGAATTCTCACCTTCGCAGTCACCTTCTTTCAGCGCTGTAACAGCACATACGATTCCGAGAAATACGGAAAGTACTAGTGACGCTGACGTACTCATCTTTCCGTTCTGTCGTGTTCTGCTAAAAGCAACATTATTAAAATGAAAACATCATTAATATACGCAAGTAAATAAATGCTTATACAAGAGAGTAACTCAGTTATCGCGCGACCAAATCAAAATTTTGACAAGTTTATCGTTCATCAACAAAAGAAGACAAAGATTAAACTACAGTTAGAGCGACGCTCCGCAACGTTACAAATTTCTCTCATTAACGACCGACTTAAATTAATCGAAGCTCGATAAGAGTCATCCCGATTCAAAACGAAATCACGTCTCTGTTACTCCGAGCGTCCTAGACGATACAGGAAACGCTTACTCCAATTTTGCAAGACTCCAACGTGCGATTTTGTGGATAACGGTTAACGTATGCGAACGGAAAGACGCGATACAAAGGAAAACGCCGACGGAGGAAAAAAAACGCGAGGCCGCGTCGAATGTTGATACGCTACGTGTCTCCGTGACGGGCTAGGTTATTCCGCGCGAGAGCGCGAGCCGCTCTTTTGGCTACGTACTCTTGCGTTGTCGGGCTGAAGATCGGCGTATTCTTCGATGCGAGGTCTCCGTCGTTCGGCAGATGGGTGACGCGCGGTGACTTTAATTCATCCACACACTCGGCTCCCCTGACGAAATACTCCTGCGACACGTCCGCACACCGCACTCGTTGTTCACCTTGCCTCCGCGCCTCTTCGCGACGCGACACGTTGGATTCTGTCAAAAACCCGGAATCCCAGCTGGCGCTTGCCGATTGGTCGTGACGTCATCGGTCACCGCGCGGGCCGCGCGCGTCACGCGCGATTGACCGTGAGGGGCGTGAGGGTAGGGTAGGGGTGGGGGGAGAGGGAAGCGTGTCACAGACGTCACAGTATATAGTAGCGCAACTCTCTGTCGACACCATTGACGTAGGAATATATACCGGTATGAAGCCAGCTATCGAACTAACGATTTCAATAATTTCGAATACGTCATTCGATTGCTAGTCGTTTGCTAATTTTTGCATCTATTTTTATTTTGTTTGCATATTAATTATTTTGGGTAAAATATCGAAAATAAAATTTGGACAAGTGTAACGGGTGTAACCGCCATTTAAAACCTTTATCTCATAATTTTATAAATATTTTGGTGCTAAAACGTTTGCTAGTCATTTGCTAGATCCGTATATACAAGTATTTTTCCTATTTTATTGATAAATTGTCCCATATTTTATTTATTAATAGCTTTCAATAATTTAATAACTGGCGCAAACAAAAACAGCGCATGCGCATCAAGTTGCCTAAAAATAACCAAAACTAAAGTTACTAGATTATTGAAAACTATTAATAAAATTTGGGACAATTTATCGATAAAATAGAAAAAATACTTGTATATATGGATCTAGCAAATGATTAGCAAACGTTTTAGCACCGAAATATTTATAAAATTATGAGATAAAGGTTTTAAATGGCGGTTACACCCGTTACACTTGTCCAAATTTTATTTTCGATATTTTACCCAAAATAATTAATATGCAAACAAAATAAAAATAGATGCAAAAATTAGCAAACAACTAGCAATGGAATGACGTATTCGAAATTATTGAAATCGTTAGTTTGACAGCTGGCTTCATACCAGTGGAATATATGGACGGTGTATTTACTGGTAGAAAGGCGAGGGGGGTAGTGATATCGACGTAAGGGGATCACATGGGATCATGTGGAATCCTTTGACTATATAATCATGGACCGCTGACGCCAACTTCACGTTGGTAGCCAAATCTGTAGCGACACCGTGTGGCAAAGCGGTAATTGGGAGAAATAAAGGTAGCAGCCTGCAGCAGTATCTGGCAATAGAATTCCTTTAAGATTAATTTTTATTTTTACGATTTTGCTCAAAAATGGTACTGTATTGTTTTGTGGAAGGCTGCAAATCGAAGAAATACTGCAAAAAAGGTGAAATAAGTGATTCCAACCTGCAGTTTTACGGGTAAGTAAAAATTATACTTTATAACCTACACATTGTACTTAAATTATATAAATACACAACAACGCATTATTATAGTTATAATAAAGCTTTCCATGAAAATAGATTAAAAAATAAATAAGATATGTACATATACTTATTTAAAGTATACAATCATTCTTTTGTTTTTTATTTTGTCCTGCACTAAATCATCATTCTCTTATGTATAGATTTCCAAGCTGTCAAGAAGTACGTGAAGTATGGGTCAAGGCTTTTCGTTTGAATAATCAAGAAATTACACAGTTTCCAAAAACCAGCAGGATTTGCAATTTGCATTTTTCCTTGGACTGCTTCAAACAATGTGGATTATCTTCTCGTTTAAAACCAAATTCTGTACCAAGTATATTTCCACGTGCTGAAAATCAAAATCAAAGGTACATAATAATTTGCATCGTATCTATTGTATGTTATAAAAATTAACAAAACAATGTTTATACGATATACTAAAAAACCCGTAATTATTTTTTTGTATGTTGCAGCTTGGAAATATCCACGGAAAGTTGTCCTAAGAATAATGATTTAAACGATGAAATAATGAATTCGGATAAAGATGTCAACGAATACATATTACAAACTCCGAAGAAGTTAGTTCGCTACCCTGGTGATATTGACGACAATGTTCTACAAACAATAACACCAAAGACAAGTCAACGTATAATAAAAATGTTAAAGCAAAAGTGTCAGGAAAAGGACAAGATCATTAAACGTTGCAGAACTCAACAAAGTCGTCAGAAGAAAAAAATAGAATCTTTGTCTCAGTTACTATTAGAACTAAAAAAAGAACATTTACTTTCTGAAAATTCATGTGATATTATGCAAGTAAGTTAAAAAGTAAACTCATGTAAAAGTGTAATATTATTTTTAAAATGTACAAACAAATAAAAAAACATACAAACATTTTAAATAATGAGAATGTCATGATTTTACATGAGTTTCAAGTTTTCTTATTGCGAAATTTTCGATTTATTCAATGAAATTTTTGCTAACAGAAAAACTGAGAAAAGATATGAATTTCTCTTAAATTAAGTTTTTCCGATTGTAGTTGTAAGATATAATTAATTGAAAGCTGAAATATTTTAGAATCGTAGCTGGAAGAAATCATACCATTACAGTATCGTATTGATTATAGCCGACGAAATCATGTATTTTCATTATATAGTCAAAGGTGGAATCTAGGCTGCGTTCCGCAAAGCGCATCATGCGCATGATATATCATGGTATCCTTGTTGTTCATCAAATGTTAAACAAAGATAAAAAGATAAATCTTGCGCATAATGCGCTTTGTCCGTCAGTACTCATCGTCGGTCTCCAGGAGCTGCAAAAAGGGACAAAGAGTACTTCCCTAAATCCCTTTCGTTTTCCACGTACCGAGTCAAATTTGTGTTTTCCTCGGCACGTGTCTAAAGGCTGATCTACACGA